TTCAATTTTTTATCTAATTTTTTAGTTTATTTATTCTAAAAATTACATAACTTTAGTCCCTCTGTCAACTTAACCAGTTACACAATACATATGGTATTTTTTTTTTAATAACATGAATAATACAGCTAAGAAAAAATGCTTACTTTGACTACATCTTATGCTAATGTTGCAAATGGACCCTACCCATGAATCCAAAAATTAAAATATAAGTACCCCTGTGTTTCTGTTCTTAATCCTTGAATTTTTCCGTCCGCTGTTCATTTTCTTCCCACCCTTTTCCGGCAATATTTGTCTTCCGCCCTCCCTTGTTGTGACTGGGTTCGTGCGAACGGCGTACTGTTGATCTGGATTCAGGACAGGTCTAGGTTCCTCACGAACCCAGATCTTATGGGTTCGTTACCCAGCACACGAAACCAGCATGGGGTTCATCACAACCCAAGATCAAGCCAGTGAATCCATTCCCATCCAAGGTCTTGAACTTTGACAGTGATATTTGCTTTCCCCGCATGGATGCTCGGCAGTCGGATTGAGAATTGCGCCGACAATTCCAAGGCAATATTCCTTTTGCTTTGTGTACCATACATTTCTTTGTTTGGTTTTGATTGAAAATTCTATCAAAAAAAGAAAAACCCACACGCTTGAACCCATGAAATGGTTAATTTGGGAGTTTAAAAACTTATAATTGTAGTTCCCTTGAAATGGGTATTCACAGATTCTTAGGAAACAGAATTACAAACAATGAATCACTAAGAAAAAAAACTTACCATCATCGCCACAGAGATCCTTATTTTATAACTGAAAAAGTGAAAACAAGAAGCAAAAATGAAAAATGCCCCAATGTACAAATTCACCCCTTAAAAGTAATAAGTAATAGGGATGGATTCACTAAAAAAAAAAAAGAAAAAAGACAGAGATAATTCACTCAAAATTTTTAAATCAAATAGATTGCACATTATTTGACATTACTCGTCAATTGACCGAAAAAATACATTTTTCCTTTAATAGTTTTCTAAATATTGATAGTAGTTTTCTAAATACCATTCATTACAGTAGATATTTAAATTTAAAGAATTTACCTATGGTTCAATTTGCAGTGGATATTTAAATTCAAAATCTTTACATATGGTTCAGTTTGCATGCTACCTTTCTGTTCTCATGCTCATGGGAGACTTCAGTCGGAATTTTTTTTTTTTTTTTAAAAAGAAAGAAAGAAAGAAAGAAAGATTTCACACAATAAAAGAAAACGTTGGCTGTCATTCCAGAGGGAAACAAGATTTGGATATGAAATTGCTCTCTTGTTTTTTTTTATTATTTTGTATAATATAGAGAATTAGATAGTGATATAAGTGCAATTTTTTATATAATTTTATATGTTATTAAATAAATATATGTTTAATGTTATAAGTTTTAAATAAATTTTCAATTGAGAATGTTTTTTAATATTTTAATTTTTATTATTTTAAAAATATATAAAATATTAATTAAAATAAAAATTAAATATGTTATTAACATTAAAAAACGAAAAAAAACTTATAACTACATAAACGACCTAACATAACACTACTGTAAAACTAAGTCTAATAATAGCTATTCAATCAGCTGGGAAGTATGAAAGACTAATATTTTGAATAAAATTACAAGCTACAGCAACCTCTAAGAACCAAAAAATCTCAAAATAGAAAATTTTTTAGCTTCCAATCATCCAAGTTAATGTTAATTTTTTAGCTCTGAATTTATGTCTAAAGGAAAAGACCGCACGTGTATGATACACACTAGCCATATATATTTTGACCGTAAATAAAATTTGTTTTTGTAAAAGAATTTTCATTTTCCTTTAACAAATAACAATAGTATATACGGAACAATTCTCATGTGGTTAAATAGTGATCACGTTATTTATTCGACAATAAATAAAATGCACTCAATTTCAAGACTCAATCTTATCTAACAACAATAGATACTAATACTTAATTTAATCATTTAAAAAAAAACAATAATATATACAGAACATATACCTCATAAGAACGAGAGTTAAAATGGTAATTGACTAATTAATACTATATCTGAAAATTGAAATGGCCTCTTGGGAAATGGACAATAGTAGAGATCAGATAAAACTCTTACAACGGACGAGAAAGGGAGAGAGAAAAGGGAGGCAGTGTTTTATTATTATTATTATATATATATATATATTTTTTAACATTTTGACACGGGCGGATTCGAAATCATCAGGAGAAGGAGAATGCACTTAGTAAGTAAGCTGGCTAATGCCAGTGGGCCGTAGACTCAGGTGCGGAGGCAGTGTTTTAAAAACAAGAAAAAGACGAAGATAATGATGAGGAGTAAAAATGAGGTTTTGTAAAAGCGGACTAAACCTTCCGCCACCACTCCCCAGTAAGAGTTAAAAGGCTGGCATTCTCCTAATCTCTCTCAGCTGTTTAACCTTGTCTGGTAATCCTTTTCCTTATCTACTAAACAATTTTTATTTTTTACTCTTTTTTTTTAAATTTACATGAAAGGGTATTAAGTATTAACACCCCATATCCACATTCTTGGATTGAGTTAATTAAGAATTATTAAATTTAGATTAATTAAATAAATAAAGTTAGGGTTGAAGGAATGATTTTACACTAATCTGTAACATCAACTAAGGCCTATGGTTTATCATTAACATTAAATAAAATAGTCAATTTATTTTAAGTGACATTAAAAGTGAAATTATGGATGCCCACGACTTTTGATTGCCATTTTAGTTGGAGTTATATTTACAGCTTTGTTTTGCCTTGATCAGTCATTA